AATAGAGGGTGAGGGCGGTGCAGCAAGTCTGATCAATCTTGGCAGATGAAGATTGACTCGGGAGATCGACTCGTGTATATGTATACGTGCAAATTATATCGTTACCTCGCATTTATACCGAGGCAAGAGAGGCCTGTCACTTAAATTTACAGCGCGGGCGGCAATGCAGGCTGCCTCCGCACGCGATATAATCGACTTATGTGCAAGGGCCGGCTGAACGGTGACTCCTTCCTCCCTGAGGAGGGAGAATTGTTTTCGTCCCAGCCCAGCTCGCCCTGCTGGGTAACGGCGGCGCGCCCATCGCGCCCACGTTGCCTGCGTTGCCGGCATCGCGACAACCCCGCCGTCGCCGGCCAACGAACAATTAAGTCCCTGAAATTCTGCTGTTGCCGCACAGCAAGGAAATTCCCTCCCGCGTCCACGGCGACGATCCGGTCGGCCGGCAGCGGACTCCGGCGCTGTGTCGCTGCTCTCTCCCCGGTGCTAACGCACACCGGGGGGCAATCCGTGCACGGTGCCACCCCGCCCGACCCCTGCCCACCCCCCCTCTCCGCGACGTGGGGAGAGTGCAGCAACGCCTCGCGCTCGGTGCGCTCACCGCTGGGCCCGTTTGCAGCTGCTGCTGCTGCTCGCAATAAAGAGCCAAAAGTCAAAAAGGGGTTGCCTGCTCAACTCGAGCACTCTGGCAGTGCTCGTATGCTACTCGGAGCCCTGAGCCAGAGGTGGAAATTCCACATTCCTATGGCGGAGGGCGAGTCTTTCCATGGGATAAACATTGTTGAATTCCCCTAGAAAGCGGTACTCATTTTTATCGACCCCAAGGGGATGATTGGCTGAGTCGACCCCGTACTAGGATTTGAACTCGCAACCTTCCGATTGCGGGCCGCTCGCCGTACCGCTGAGACACCCGGATGGAGCCCCGGTTAGAAGATAGGCAAAGTCAGCCCGTGGCAGGGAATTGAACTCTTTCTGGCTTCGAGTCAGAGACACACTTTGAGTCTTAGGCTCTAAAACTCGAGATGACTTCTCTAAGTGGTAAGAGCTTCTGTGCAAAGACTTGTATTCGTGCCAGGAGCTGCTCTCTACAATCAGGGAATGCATCCATAGCTGGGAAGTTCTCTGCACCTGAATTGAGTCTCTTTACCGAGTGTATACACATCGTCAGCCATGCTAGATGAATGGCTCCCCAAGCCATCGCCATCTCTCACGATCCTAGCATGTTCACAATCCACCCAACACCTGCGCACGAGCTGATTTCATCGCTCCGTCTCTCCGCAGGACATTCCGTCCGACGCGTGCCATCCCTTGGCTGCCACTCTTGTCACGATCATTGATCGTCGGCCATCTTCCTTACACGCGACGTGCCCTGACCACGCCCGTTTGATTTTCTTAACGCTTTCAACGATTGCCAATTTAATAATCATGATGCAACTTGTAACGCGCACGATATTTCGTGGACGCAAATTCACTGTGTGCCAGTGTAGCTTCTTTAATGCGTGGCTTCTTCTTCTCTGTCTCTCAGTGCAATGCCAATGCATCTCTCCACACTTCTGTTACACTTTTCAGTTTTTGTTCAATGTTTTTGTTACGTTTTTTCGCGTTGCTGACGACAACGTCTCTGCGCCTTACGTTATGTCATGCCACGATACAAAGACTCTCTGGAATCTGGATAGAGAGTGTGTATTTGTATCTTGGGGTGGTTGATGGACCTAGAGAAACTGCATTGTGACGAGAACGCCTGGAGAGGACCCTCTGAAGCTGGCCACGTGTACACAGATGGGGGACCCTGAACGCAGAGAGGTCCCTGTGTACCTGCAGATGGCCTCTGTGGGCCCGTGCGTGAAGACCATTTGTGCGTACACAGTGACCTTTCTGATCAGCCCCTGCGCACGGAGAGCCTATTTTCTAACCTCGTAATGTCACAGGGCCTCGTTGTACAAGCGACCGCTGGGCGGTGCCCAACATCATTGATGGCCCTGAGGATGTATGGATGGACCCCAGCTTTAGTTATTACACGATGCCTGTTGTACCAGACGGCATATTCAAATGTACTTTTCTTCTACGATGAAGTTTACATCGTGATCGGACCTGTCCCATCCTCGTATTGGGCTTCTCGCTAATATCAACAATGCAAAGAGGAACAGATTTCAACATCTCGTAGGGGCGTATCTTCCCTCGTGAACGCTGTAAGATTTCTGCTCGGGAGAAATTAAAACCCCCGGCGCGTCGTCCGGTAGCGGTGGGCCGATGAGCACGCTCAGTGGCATCCAGCAAAATCGAATTATCGTGCGCGTCCACAGCGATGCATTTCCACCGGTGGTACGAAGAGAAGCCTCTCGCGTTGTCTTCGCTGCTGCTGCTGCTGCCGGACTACCGCCGGGCTTGCAATCCACAACAACCGCGCAGTGCCGTGCTGCTTCAGGGCGGCTGCACCCGGAAGAAGCCGACTTCAAAGCCAACCGCTTCGTTTGCCGTCGTCTCTCGAGTGGGCGAACGCGGCCGATCAATCCGAGGCTGAGCGGTTAGGGCAGCCCCTCACCACCACCCCCCCCTCCACGCCTGCGCGTGTGTGCGTGCGTGCCTGTTCACCCAACTCGTAACCAAATTTTGCGCATTTAATCTCGCTGCGTTTTGTTGACGACGCTAAGGTGGGGTGGGTTGGGGAAACAAAATTTAGTCGCCAAAATAAACGATTGCCCCTCTCCCCCGAACACACGCAAGAAATGTGCCGCGTCAGATGGTGGGGGGAAAAAAATCGCCCGGAAAATAACGTTACGTGGCGCACGGATTTTGTGGACGCGGGCGGGCGGGGGGGGTAAGAGAGAGGGTATGTGCAGCGTTTAGAGGTGGCCTTCCTACTAAGTGCTTTGGCCAAGGTTCTGATGTATAGCTGGACGTGCCTGTGTGTGCAGATAGGCTCCAGCCCGTCCTAACACAGCCGTCTCGGCTGAAAGGAAGGTCGCGACCCCTTTTCTCTCTTTATCGTTTAAGCCTGTCCGCAATGTGCCGCGTGGCCGTGATGTCAGTTCGCTTTTTAAAAAACGGAAAGTGCCCCCCCCCCCGCCCCTCTTCTCTACCCCACCTCACCCCTGCCCCTTCTCCTCCTTACTGCTGCCCTCACCTTTCCAGAAGACTGAGAGAAGAAGTCGTGTTTGGATGCACACCGGCGAGATTCCCCTTTGCAAGCATTCATCAACGCCGCCCTCCCGTTTCTACCGCGCTGGGCTGCGGCCCCATTAGTCGGGGACGCGTGGTGGACCTTGCGGGCGGGCGGGCGTGTGTGCGTAACTCGGGGACGGGTTATCAACGTGCAGTTGTGAAATGATCAGCGTGCGGTGGTCTGCAATAATTGGGGCAGAGCCGAGCAGCCGAGAGTCGTGGGGGGGGGGGGGGGGGGGCGTACTGCCGCGCTCTCGCAGCTGCGCCATGCGCGACTCAAACCGCAGTGGCCGAGCCAAATCAATTGCTCGGCACAAGTGCACGTTGGGAGCTGTCTTGTGTGCAGCAGCGGAATCTCTCAGAAAGCCTCCCTGGAGTGCCAGGCCTCTTGACTTTGAAGTTGGACCCCCTGTTATTTCCGAGAGATGTGCACGCGCGCGTAAAACACACGCGCGGGAACACGCGCTGACCAAATGTGTCTCCCTGTGGCCCCAAACATTTACCATGACCCAGAGCACCTGCTCAACGGGGAACTTATCTCAGAGCCTCTGGGCACAAGGCACGGATGTGTTGACCTTTGCGCACGGGGCGAGCTTTTGCGCAGCGAAAAAGCCTTGAGAGGTCACGGAAAAAAAGGGACCCCAACTGGGCCACTCAACCCCAGATACCGCTGCCCTTAATCCGTCAGTGAAGAAGAGCGTGACCCGGCGGCCCTAGTTCGGCCAATGAAGCGCAGCGTTACTGAGCGATGACCGGGGCGCTCGGCCAATCGGCGGCGAGGTCGCAAAACAAACGACCCGCGGTGCGGTCCTCGACGGGGCTCAGTGCCAGGAGGGCGGTCGTCACGTGACCCCCTCCCCCAAAGCCCACTCCCCCTCCCCTTTGTCACCGCGGGTCACATGGGCAGGGGTTAAAGGTGAGAGATTGCCTGGTCAGCGATGGGGTCACACGGCTGGGGAGTTGACGGTCCCTAGTTGCCAAGCAGAGAAACAAAACCCTTATGGTGCCTTCTGTTGTTAAAGCAAAGGGGAGCCAACAGACTGGCATCTCATTTAACGTGGGGGGGGGGGGGGGGGGGGGGGGGGTTGGTGGGTTTTCTCGTATAATTTTTAGTTTTTCAGAGAAAAAGCACTTCTCCCCGAATGTTGCCATGCATTAATAACCCTACATGTATTAATAACCCCTCAAACATGTTTCTCTGAAGACCGTAAACCAATTTCTCTGAAATCATTACAATATTAAGCAGTGTAATGCATAATGCAGCTCTGCGGTGGGTGTTGTAGTACTGAGGATTAATATTCTGGTTGGCAGCGGGGGAGGGTTAGTGTAATTTAATATAAATATATAAATGAAATTAATGACTTCACTCCCATTAAAATGCCCTCTCGCTCTGTAAGTGTAAAGTATTCCGTGGAAATCTTGTCCAGCAGTTGTGACAAGGCCTACCGGAGGTAGACTGAAAATGAGATAGATCCATTACAGCTCACCACCATTGTCATTAACACTGCCCCATAGTAGACAACATATATCGCAGGCTAACGTTTCCTAAAAATACCTCTTATGCATTAGAGATATCGCGAATATGGGCATGCGAATAACAACAACAATAATTCACAATGGAATTTAAGAAAAATACGGAGAGAAAAAAGGGGAGGAGGCAGAGAGACAGAAGGAGAGAGAGAGAGACGAAGAGAGAGAGAGAGAGAAGTATCAGTGGACAGCGAAGGACACGGCAGGGCTGGGAGGGTTTTGGTCGGAGTGAAAGGTGGGGGGGAGTCGTTTGCCCCTTGAGCTGACAGGTCACGGCGTGGCGGCCAGGCAAACCCGGCCCCATCACTCACGTTTACGGCCCATCTGCCCGCCCGTCAGCAGAGTGGTCAGCAGCTGTCAGCACCAGGCAAATTTATGTCCCCGGCCCAGCTGAAGAATGGCCGCTTCCTTGTCCTCCTCTTGCACTCGGGATTTTTTTTTATGACAGCACCGCAGAATTGGTGCATCCCCATGGCCGCGCGACTCCACACGCTGGCGCACGACTCCGCGCGCGTGCGCCCGTGCGCCAGCGCTTGCATGCGGACGCGCGCATGCACGCACATACGTGCTCGCACTCTGGGGGGGAAAAGGCGGGGTAATAGCGATCGATGCGGGGCAGCGGTTTGTAATGGCCGGCCAGGCGCAGCAGCCGCGCTCGGTCCTTGGTGGGGTTGGGACCTCTGCCGCGCTGCGCGGAACGAGAGGCACCGAGCCGGAGCGGCACGAGTCGCCCCGGCCCTCTCGTCAGCGTCTCGTTACCCACGTGGCGCCACCCGCAGCGCTGGCGTTCGCCGTTGCCCCCGTGGCACCGGTGACACCGCTGCTCCCGTGATACCGGCGTTAGGGTCTCTTTTATTGGAGAGGGGCGCTCTCTTATTATGCTGATCACGGTAGCAATGGTGACATGTAAACCATTAAGTGCACCGATGATGAACTAAACAAAAACAACCTTTTCAACGAATTTCATAATTTTCGTCGCTGACATCACTCGCTCGATGTTCGCGAAGAGCTCACTGCACATCGGAGGCGAAAGGGTGCGCCTGCTTTCGTTCACCTATCCCTGCGCAGAGTTAGTTTACTTATCTTCCGTAATTCATAATCAATGTGGTTTCCGGCTCTAAGCTCACACGCGTGCGTGCGTGTGTGCGTGTGCGCGCACGAGCGTGGTCAGTGAAGGCACCGGCGTTTGTCGGAATTTCTGCTTGGAGCCGAACAAGACTACACTTTGGTGGCGGCGTTGGCGGAGGGAGGGAGCCGCCCCTGTACGCGACACTGGAGCAAGGATTAAGCGATGATCACTTCAGGGCAAACACATTGGCTGGAGTTGTTGTATATATTTAACCCGCCCTTCCGTCAATCAATAGGAGGTGGTTTGGAGCTCATTAAGGCCGGGAAAGGGGAGGGAAGTGACAAAATGAAAATAAGTGAAATGAGCAACTCATTGAGGACAAATTTGGGGAAGCAACATCTCTCGCTTTCGACGGCCAACAGTCCCAAATCCCCTGGCTGGTTTCCCTCTCGCGGAGGTCGGTGTACGTGTCCGCTCCGACGAGAGCCATGAAGCTCCCCCCCCCCCCCCCCCGTTCTCCCCAGCAATCATTTCGCCTAAGGTTGTGCGGAATTAATTTTTTATCGCCTGACCTTATGACAACGTTGGGAAATGTATATCTCATTTCGAGTGAAGACACAGCTCGTCAAATAATGCATGACGAGGTGAAATATTTAGGTTGCATGGCATCATGGGAGGAATCCACACTTCACTGCAAGCCCCACCAGGGTGCAATAAACACGCAGCAGCAGCATGATTTATGTGCTACATATGAAAAGCTAATGTAGTCTTGTTAAATTATTTTATATTTATTATATACGTGACATCCCTACAAAAGTGCAAAGCTCCGCTGGAGCATCTACTCATGCAAAGCTGCCCGAATTTTGAGCTACGTAGTGCGCGTGTGTGCGCGTGTGCATGTGTGTGTACTTTGCAAGGATGTGGGGAGAGCTAGTGCGGACGTTAGCACGCCGAGCTACAAAACCGGCAACCAGGGTTCGATTCCTGCTCATTGCCACCAACACCAGGTGATGATTATTTTAACCGGTCCTGGGTCTCTCGCAGGTCAACTCAGCCTCAAATGAGTACCTTGTGCGATGTGTAAATATCGCCACTGGGGAGACAAAGGTGGCCGGGCGTGGTGTTGGCCACTCACCCCCTCATGTGCTGTGCCAGCCTGCATATGTGCTCGCTAACAGCACTTGTCCCAACGACTGTTAAGGCTACACGGGGGATATTTGTTTTTGATACATGGATGGCTCGCCTCAACCGCGGCAGCTACACTGGACCACGAGGGGTGGCGACAGCACGGGGAGGCCCTCATCCAGCAGTGGATAGACAATGGCTGCTGATGATGACTATATATAACCATCTCTCATTTTCTGATGGCATAGAAGCACTTAATAGAGTAGTGGGCAGTCAGTTGTGCACATGGGGCAAAACCCCTGAAACCAAATGGCCTTGGGACCCGTTATGGCAACGTGGGTTTTCTTTGCTCTGGTAATTCTGGAACCAAAAAAAAGCGCTAAATTGGATGCACCCTTTCAAATAAAATCACGCAAAACCAAAAAAAACGCCATTCACGGTGACAACATTGGGCCACGTGCCTCTCCTGCGAGGGAGAGCTGAGACACGCGTTGAGGTTTGAACTAAAGACCCCTTTGCTTAATTGGACGACACTCATCCGCCGAGCGGTCCTCCCGACTCACTCGCTTGCATCGCACCGTCGTAGCATCACGTGCTGTGATGGCGGCGTGTGCTTTACACAAAAATGCAAAGGTCCACCCGTATAGCCTTGACAGGACTGTTGGGGCAAGTGCTATTAGCGAGTAGCACCTTTGAAGGCCGGCACAGCACACGACGGGGTGGGTGGCTTGCACCACGCCTGGGCGCGTTTGCCTCCCAAGTAGTGATGTTTACACATATAACCAGGTACTCATTTGAGGCTGAATTCAGATATTCGTCACTGTTGTTGGCCGTGAGCGGGAATCAAACTCAGGTTGCCGGGTTCGTAGCACAGAGCGCTCCCCGCGACACTGCCGCTCCCCGCACACACGCTCACACACAGCAGTGTGCTTGACGTGTGAATGCAAGTGTGCTCATGGCACCAAGTATTCCTACATAATTGCCCGTTTGAACCTCACGCTGACACAGTTCGAGTGTTTGCACATCTCACCCGGAGGCATCAAACTAACTTTCGTGCTCCCTGTTAGAATGTACGGCTGCAATTTTTGTTTAATGAAGCTATCATTTTATCCGACATGTTCTCGTAAAGCCCTGGTCCTGATGAATGCCCAGCGGCTTGAGATGTTGCCTAATTTGCAGCACGTCTCCCCCCCCCCCCCCCTTTCAGGCTTCATTCTCCTTCACGATGCGAATGCCACGAGCTCCTGCCCGCCGTGACGCTGTCGCTTGCTGTGCGCACGCGACGTGCACACGCGTGCATGTGCACGTCGCGGCGGGCCCGAGTTTAACTCCCAGTGATCGGAACCCGTCCTTAGGCCCTCCCCTCCCCTCGGATGAATGAGCCCCAAACGATAACCTCAACGCATTTGTCAAGAATTGAGAAACTTGCTGCGGTGCGTACGATTCAGGGCTGTGGTTCTTGCTGCACCACCCCTTCGTAAGTCCGGGTAACTTTCCGCTGGTGATTGTTGTTCCAGTAAAACCTCATTTGTCAACATTTGCTCATATCTGTTAGAATAGAACCTTTCACAGAAACACGTTTTTAAAAAATATATATATGTAAAGCAATATATATCAATTATGATAGTCAATAAAAAAAATCTGATCTCTATCAATCCAGTGCTAGATGAAGGCCTCCCCATGCTGTGTTGATCATGGGGTTTGTTTGACTGTACTTCACCTCGCTGGTCATTGTGGGTCGGTGAAGGAGAGGGTGCCCCATGACCAGCACAGATATCAACTCACCACTGATGTTAGCCGCAGCGGGAAATGGTTCAGTGTGTAGTGTTTTATCACTGGGCCACCGCTCACTCTGCTGATTTCAATTACATGTCCACTAATCCCGAAATCATTTTAAAAAAAGTGAGGCATACAATTTGAGCTCATTTGTCCATGATACCTCGCTCGGCTGCCTTTCATGAAACTCTACGGCCAAAGCGTTTTAAAAACATGGCATCTCAAACGCGCCAGCCTTGGCAACCCACCGCGGTTAATATTTTCATCTGTGGAAATCGTCATGTGCATGAAATCTTCAACGGTTGAATCTGGATTTGAGTGGTAAATTAGGGAAGGCATGCCAAGGTGGGTGGCGGGGGAGTGGAGGTGCAGAAGCCTCGTTCAGGGGGCACGGCCTCGGTGCCAGTCAACTGCGATCTACAATTGTCAATATCAAATATAGACCTTGAAGGCCTGCCGATCAAAAAAGGTTTGTTATTGGCATTGCTTCAGGGAACAAACTTTCCTTATTTTCACTTGTGCCCCGCCATTTATTTGATTCACTAAAAGAGCAACCAATCAATCAATCAACGGCTCACTCCGTTCTGTTATTTCGACCGGCGGTGGGGGGAGAAGGAAAACGCCGCTTCGTCTCCGCCGGACGTTTCTGTTAAAATTAATAAAACTGTGGCCGCGGACACAAGTCGTGAAACTTCAGCCGTACTTTACCAGAACAGCAGCTGTGATTGGGGCAATTACTCAAAGGCCACATGGAGTCCGAGGCTTAAGCTCTCTGAGCCAATTCCATACCGTTGCACTGACCATGCCAATCACAATCACGCCACTGGCTGCGGGCTAGCCCCGGGCACTATTGTTGGTTTATTCCCCCCTGTGCCCTGGGCTCGGTTACTACAATCCCAGCTGTTGTTCTCGCGTAGCCCAGGTGGACGGTCTTGATTATGGCCCCGTGCTTTAAAACCAAATTAGGCCACTCCAAACTCTCATGGGGCATGAGTTTCGGAATAGGGCAAATCCAATCGCTGTGGAATCCACACTCGTATGCAAATTATTCCACTGGTTTTAATCCAAATGTGGCAAATTCTTGATAAAAATTTGGGTTTAGATTTGCAATTTTGGTTTACATCCTACCCGGATGGCGCTGTTGCCCAGTGCTCGAGTGACGATCGGGAGGATGTGAGCTCGAATCCCATTCGGTGGCATTCACTTTGCTCAACCAACCAGGGTGAATAAAGGAAGTACCGTTTTGTGAGAGTCGTATTATGGTGAAACTGGCTCCACACACCATGGCAATGTGGAATTCGCTCAAATTGGTCAGGACGGCCGATAGAGAATGGCCATCCCTTTAGTCGTTTTTGGTAGGAGACGCTTCGACTGGACAGATGTCAAAATCAGAAAATGTATTTTTACTGGAGGAATCCGATGAGCTATAAAGCTCTTCTTCACAGATGTCCAGTAATCGAGGTGAGCACGCGGCAGTGGATATGGTACCTTGCGAGCTACCGCCGGTATAATCCAAGCACCAAAATCCATCAGCGGATTCCATTTTGTCATCAGTTGAAACACTAAAGTGGCATTATCATTATTTCCCTATACAGTTTATACGATGTGTAAATGTAGAGTAACACAATAATCCCAGCCCTTTATCCGCCCACTGATGGATCGACGGCTCCCCGTGCCGTTTCGGTCATGTCAGTTGTTTGATAATACTTCACCACACTGCTCAATGCAAACCGTCTGCTAAAGGCTGCTTAGAGGATTGTTGTCACGGAAACGACAGTTTCAATGCTGGCCATACACCACTCCCTCTAATGCTGC